TTTTTCTTCTGATTTTTGGCCCGCGACCGAAAATGTTTGCCCATCCCTGCCCTAGGCTAATATAAGTACAAAAAATTACTATATTTGTTAACCCTAAAACCCATCTTTTTCCCCATATAAATGCCAGTTAAAACATAATGAGTTTTCCAATTTAGAATCTTTTTTACCTTGCCCTATAAAAAAAAACCTTAAAAATGCTCCAACATTAATACTTGTGGAACTAGCTTTAACAAATCTGTTCAGATTTTTGCATTTGCTGAGGATATTGACATAGTCGCACGCACTCTCGGGTGACTTAGAGAGGCTTTTACATCTCTAGAGGCTGCAGCCAGCAAAATACGTCTAGCAATCAACGAAAATAAAACTAAATACAGCCATGTGGTAATAACAGCACTCCCTATTTTGAAATCGGGAATTACAAATTTGAAACTGTGACCAAATTTAAATATTTAGGATCAGAAGTTAATACTCTCAGTGATTTAATGCCCGTGATCCGTACCGATGCTAACCAATGTTTTTTCGGTCTCAAAAAATACTTGAAGTCTAACTTCACTAGCACGAAGATTTTAATTTACAAAAGCTTAATCAGACCCATTCTTACATACTCTGCTAAGACCTGGGCAATGACAGAAAAAGCTAAAAGTATGATTTCTGTCTTTGAGAGAAAACTTTTGAGAAGTATTTTTGGCGGCATAAAATGTAACAATACCTGGAGAAGAAGAACTAACTCTGAACTCTATAAATCCTTTAAAGAAACAGATATAGTAAAATATATAAGGATTTATAGAATTAAATGGGCAGGACACCTGTGCAGAATGGATGAAAATCGAGTAACTAAAAAGATCTTGGCCAGACCATTCGTTACCCGAAAAATACGGAGACCTAAACTTAGGTGGCTCGACTGTTTGGAAACAGACTTAAGAATTTTAAAAATAACCAACTGGATGTCCATGGCCAGGGATAGAAGAGCTTGGAATTTGATTCTGAGGAAGCAAGGGCCCATCCTGGGCTGCCTTCACATTGAAGAAGAAGAACCCTTTTAGAATCATAGATTTTCCCATATCACAATCAAAGTAATATAATTTTCTAAATTACCAGCTTTAACCAAACCAATATACCTACTGCTGTTAATAGGTATTTACAATTACAATGGTTAACAGGTATCTACAATCTCAAGTATTCAGAAATATTTATTGGATATTGTTTAGCATCTTGTTTTGCTTATTTAACCTCTTTTCTCAAATCAAGCCTCTTTTTTCTGTTGGTGATATAGAATTTAGCAAATGTGTCTTAGAATCATAGAAATACAGTAGTAGAGGGAATAGTTGTACAATAAAAACACACAAACTGAGAAAAGATACAAAACAAATCTCTAGATTAAAAATTCTGGAAATTAGATCACAAATACACAAAAGACAGACTTACAAATATTGTTGAGCGAAATGGAATTACAATTATAATTAAATTGTAATTGCAATTAGACTACAAAAATCCTGCAGTTAAGTGCAACTGCTTCTATTAATTACAATGTAAATGCAATTATGTTGTAATTGTAATTAAAAAGTAACTATGCAAACTAATTACAATGTAACTGCAATTATATTGTAATAACAAAGTTGTTGCATACCTACTTATAATTATAATGTAACAGCAGTTACATAATCTAATTATAATGACAATGCAACTGGAATTACATAATATAAATACAATATAATTGTACTATGGGTATTTACAATTACATAATTAGAAAAGTAACTGCCCTTAACATTTAACATAAACCTTGGAAAACAGTGATCATAATTAAAAATTACAGTAAAACTCAATATATCAAAAAATAGTTAGCCATATTAGACTTCAAGTTCTTAAATAATATAAAGGGATAATCACCGACAAAAGAAATATTAGTATTTTGTATCTGCAATCATCCTGCTTAACATCTGCATGTAATGCAGTTTGCAGTAGCAACATAAGTTACGAACTAGTCTTCTATTAAATACTTCACATATTTAATAGAAAAATTCAAAATATTAGAAATAGAGTTAAAGCAGACAGCATTTACAGGAACTAACTTCAACCATTTTACATAGAAGTAAATATGTTTCACTTAATTAAACAAATATTTTTGTTAACAATGCTTGTAAACAGATTTATGGATTTGAATTATTTGATTTAGCACACAAAGACTGTACATCTACAGAATTGGATACTTTCATGGAAGATCTGTTAATAGGAATTGGTTCTTTTTTACATTACAGAGAAGACAAATCCCGAAAATTTCATTTAACCGCCCTGTTTCAACACAGGCACTAGAAACAGTGCAAAACTATAAGTGCCACTTATTCAACTGAATGGCTGGTCAGTCAACTGAATTGGTTGTGCAATTGAATCCCCAGTCTAAGAGAAAAATAGAAGTTTTCTATACATAATGTGTACCAAGATTTTCAGGAACAATACTGACTGGGACCTAGTTGTTATGCAAAACAAAAATTTTCAATAAATACTTAAAAGGCATTACTTACTTACAGGCAGTATTTATTACTTACAATAAATTTTACAAAAGCATGAAAATACTTGGGCAACTAATTTTTAGCTTACTCTATCCAATACTTTTTAATGCAGAATGTAAAATGAAGTTAAGAACTTACAGATCCTGAAGAATGCATAAAAATTTTTATAAAACAAAGGCTGACTTCAGTGTTTGTTCTTCTGTAATATATATACACCATATTGTATTTTTATTAGATATTTTTTTACCGTTGAATATTAAAATAATTTACTTCAAAAAAATTAGCTGATACGCTCTGCTCTCTTTCCACTTTTTTTCTTTTTAAAACTTTAAAGAAACGACAAAATTTCTAAAATGCATAACAACTATTTCATTCATACATTAAAAAACAAACACATTAAATAAAATTCTAATACGCAGCTAATCCGGAAAAAAGTTAAAATAAAATATAAATAGAAAATATCTGACAGGAAGACTATCGAGAAAGGGGGGGGAAAAGAACTGGCGAAACAAGTTCTGGTATACGCAGAACTATGGCAACCCTACGCCAAGCAGATAAAGAACACTGTTGCCTAGAGACGCTTCACCTTGGGTTAAAATTGATTCCTCCCTCCCTTTCTCCTCTATTTGCTGTTGCCAGGCAACAGTGAAGGCAAATTTTCTGCTCCCAGGCAAGTACCCGAACAGAGACTGGTCTCTCAAACTCACTCAGCAAGAGAGGGAAAGAGACCTTTCGCCGGAAGCGACGCAGTTGTTATTTCACATTTCAACAAAGAGCCAATCAAATGCGCGGAATAGGCTAATGCTGAAAAAACAAGCACATAGAACTGGATTTCTCATGTGCAGCTGTTAAGTTCTGCTCAGACGTTAACTGTAAAAGGAAGATTGAAAATTTAACAAAATAACAATGTTACCTGTTAAATGAAAAAGAATGATAAAACACTTTTATGTTAACACCATGTAACGAAAACGTAAATTCAGATAACGAATATCACTAAATCACTCGTCGTAAATGGCAAAGAGTTTTCTCACATAAAAATATAACCAGAATATTTTATTTATAAATTGATTTCTTTCTGTTGGCAGGAGAAGCAAAATCAGATAAATTGTACATAATTTTATTACATTAATTTGACATTAAAATCAGTAAAGGATGCAATAAAATGCATTATAAAAAGTTGAGATTACATTTTTTCAACTTTCGTCAAATACAATTTATAAAAAAAAGACTTCATATTTTTATGATTAAAAATATTAGCACATTATTGATAATTTTAAATACTTTTTTTTTCTTTTCTTTGTCTTCATGTATAATTTTTTGAAATTGACAACAGAGGAAAATATAAAATTTTCAATACATTTTTTTTAAAAGAGGGAAGATATCCAAGATAACTGTTGTACATTTATATCAAAAGGAAGCACACAGCCATAAATTTAGCTCTATTACGAACTTTTTTAAAGACACTAATTTAATTAATCAGTTTTCATTCAGGAATACAAATGAATATAAGACATGTAAAAAAAATAAAACTCTATTAAATATAAAAGTACTAAATATGCTTGTAAAGCAGTTCCAACCTATCTATTATTTGCTATTTCAATTATTTTTTAATACTACAAGCAAATGAAGAATTAAAATAATTCAGGCATATATTGCCACTAATATTACAGCATATTCTGTATAATGAATGATAACATTTAAACTCATAATGATTCATCTAACCAATGTTTCCTTTTTAAAATAATAACTAATACCTCTTAATAATTTAAAAATTGCTTTATCATCTGATATTAACTGTTAAAATGTCTGCTTATCAGTACTTATCATAAAATATTGTTCTCTGTCTATAGAATTTTAAATTATAAAATATTCATTCATTTCCTCATAAAATATTCATTAATTTCCTCCTCAAATATAAACAATATCTAATCAATTTACACCATCTAAAGTTACATCATCACTTTGCCAAACACTTTCGCAGATATATATAATCATGATACTTCGCTAAAATTTCATTTCTAAGTATTTGAATTACTTTTTTGAAGTGAAATGCAGCTGAAACTCCAGCCTTTTCTTTAATTGTTTCACTTATCAACTAATATTTATCATTTGTTATTTATTGTTATCTTCAAAATTTTTCTCAAATCTTTTTTTTCAAGCCCTCTCCTTTTTCTAGCATCAGTTAAAAAACACCAACTACCAGACTATTTTTAGAACATAAAATGAGCAAAATAATTGTACTATGTAGTTAATCCTTTCCAACACTTAATAACTTGCTTTCTGCTAAATAATGGAAGCAGCATGTATCATATCGTCATACAAAATAAAACAGCTTAATTCTTAATAAAAACATTTTAACATTATGACACTTATTATTTCACATGCCACACAGAATTATTTGGGTAACAAGCATAAAAGGAAAGGTAAAAGCTTTATTATGCTAAATCACCATAAATGAATATTAAATTTACAAAATTAAAGTAAATTACTGACCTGAAACAGAATGTTTGAGATTTCTTTTATTTCTACCTGAAAATGTTATGCACAAAAACATGAAACAAAAGCAATCCAGCAAGCACAAAAGACAAATCATGCAAAGCGATAGTATCAATACGCAAAATAAAAGCACAGCAAAAATACTTAAGAGACTACACACCAATTAATATTAATGCAGATAAAAAGTTAACATTTTCATGCAACGAAGCTCTAATCTCCCATGCTGAATTCAATCTGAATATGTAATTTATCATCGATTTTTGCAACAAGTGTTACAAAATCAAGGAAAGTTCTATATTCAGATTAAATAAAGAAAAGTTCATTGGAGCATGCCTTATTTTATTTAAACACATGACTAATGGTAGCCTAACTAAATTTTATTTTTCAAATCTTAAAAATTTGCTGAAAGTTTAGTATATACAGAGAATCTGCTGCATAATTTAAAAATCCGTTTTTGTTATAATGGTGCTAGCATACAACATGGTCTTTTGCAATATGACTATCTATCTACCTGTATATATACATACATATAAATTCATAATTATAAGTAAATTAAAAAGCCTATGACTTGCACTACAGCTGCAAAGTAATAAATCAATAATTTAAAATAAGAAAACTTTCCACATGCTAAATTATAAGCATGCATGGTCTCTTATATTTCTCTTTAAAAGTGGTTTTTCATGATATCATCAGTATACGAAAATAAATAAAAAAAACCTTTTTTGAAGGGTTAACCAAATTTCTGTATTTTTCTATAAAATGCCCAAACATAATCATAGATGGTTTCTTTTTCAATTTTTTTGGATTTCAGTCTTTTATAAGTATTCAGTCACCTTCTGAATTATTAAGTTTTTCAGAAACACCAAGAATCACTTTCAAGGGCTAATCATTAGAGAAGGTTCATGATACTTTATTAATAGATATAAAAAATGAATTACTACTTTGATAGTAAATTATTCAATGTGAGTTTTGTGATACAAGAACAAGTATTAGCAGTAATCATACAGTAACAAAGCTAAGTAGCCATACTCATAGTATAAAGCATGCTTTCAAAAAAAAAAAAAAAAAACTCAACTGATGACATGGATATCAAATATTTATTTCTAAATGCATAACTAAATCAGTGATGTTCAAGGTAAGCTCAACAAACTTTCTATTGATTTAAAATCTACATTTGTTCAAGGTAAAAACAAGTCAGCTGTATCCTCCTGCCATGAAAAAGCTTTCGCAGAAAAGAATACAAAGGTCTACTCCAGATGAATGCACCCTTAGAAAGCATGTCTTGAGATGATCAAATGTCTTGAGTTAAGACAATTATAGAATACTATCTAATGTATTTTATTACTGATTAAATGTCAGTTAACACTTTGCGACACCTAAAAATATCCTTCTATACGCACAGAAAAATTTAATGGAAAAAGGATTTATAGGTTACTCTGAACCTTCTTTATTTATACGAGATGGCAGCATAACACAAACCTGTCTATATATAGTCCTTTAGCCTTATTTGGTTTTTAAAGACACTCATTTTTCAAGAATTTTCCAGTAAATGATTAATATCACAGGGATCAAAACTTTCTTTCACAGCAGCTGGAAAAAAATAGGTTTCTACCGCTCTTTAAAAACTGCATTCTTAATTTAAAAAGTGAATATAAAAATTACCACTTTTTAAAATAATAACTTTAAGAACTGTAACAAAAAATTTTTAAATCACATAAAACCACTTTTATTACTTATAAACTTTTTTACTAAGATTATAGACATATTTAGCAGACTGTTTGCAATACTAGCACACTTGAAGTTCATGATCTCATTTATTATCAAGTTGGTTAATGAAAAGACATTAAACTTCACAAAAATTCACTGCAAATTTTGTCCTAGCATATTATTATTAATATGCAAAGAAATCTTACGAAGAATGATTAATTTTAGTCATATGGTAGATTTTACTTCAAAGACATACAGCATTGCATATTTTTCCAGCAAGTACTTAATCTAGCTCTTGATTTACACCAGTTTAGTTTGCTCTCAATTAAAATAATGCTGGTTTTAAAACCAGAAATATATTTATTTCATTATCTTTTACTAGAAAAGACCAATGTTTGTGCCATGGATGCAGTCAGTTGCTCGAGGTCAAAGGGATTCTCCTTTTTCCTCATTTCCTCCCATGACATAGATGAATTTTTCTGTGTCTGCAAGGAAAAGCAAGTGTTCCTTATTTAGCACTGTTTAAGTAGCAATTTATTATTATGTTTCAGTTAAAGCAAAGCTGAGTTTTCTGCTCTAAAGTTTACATTTAGTTTAAAGTATTGCACATGTGTATCATTAATGCTTGATTATTTTTTCAACCGAAACATTGAGTAAAGTGAAGTTCTTGATTAATTTCACGACTTGTTTTGTTTGTTAACTTTACTGCTCATTGTTACACTAAGTTTGAGTTATATTTTAATTGATCCACCTTCATTAATTTAGTTTAATGTTTGTTTAATTTTAATGCCAAGTCTAAAAAAATATACACAATTTTAAAGCTGAATTTTTATCTTCTTTACTTTTTCATTCTCCCATTCTCATTCCCACGTATTTATCACTGTAGTGAGTTTCTCACATTAACTTATTCAGTTCATTAGAGAATCAAAGGCTTATAATCTTATACATTATTTTCATGCGGTTCTTATACTAAATCAATTTCCGAGTTTGAATAAAGTTATAAACAGTGATCTTTTCAAGAATTTACATTCATTATATAGGTAGTAATAACCATTTTTGAAATGAAACAAATCCAGTAAATCCTCTCTGATCCACAAAGAAAAGCTATGATCTTAAATTCACTTAGTGCGAAATCGAGTTATGAAAGAAAGGAAATCACAATAGATGAAAATTCTTGATTTAATATATGAAAATTCTTGATTTAAATTCTTAATAAAGTTATGAAAGAAAAAACTGTAGCTATAGTACAGAGAGCACACCAAATTTGGCAATTTTGTTGTTAGATAATGATTTTAATCTGGTATCTTCCTTTTTCTGTTGTTTCATTATGATTTTATTCTGGTGACCTTACTTTTTTAGGAGAGGGGGGTAATCAGGGTGAATGGGATATTTTTCTGTCAGTGAATTTTCAGCTGTTTTAGAATGCTATTTGTTACTTTTAAAACTACATATTTTTAAATGGCAAAATCCACAAATCTGTGTATTATGGACAAAAGGTATGATATCGGTTATTTTCATGATACGAAATGAAAGGGAAAATATGTGTCATAATGATGCATGGGAATGAGTTTAACTGCAAAAGAGTTTGTATGTTTTGTATTTAATTTTTTTTTCATGTATCATATAATTTGCTAATTCTTATTTAGTAATTTATAATTTATCACAGCAGGTGTGCAGTTCTAAGTTTGAACATTCTCTGATGCCTTTTTAACCAAAAACAGATCTCTATACAAATGGGAAATACAACAGTAATATATCATGTACAATGTTTAATATGTCATACAATCCTTATTTAAGAAATAAAATTTGAATTTTAAATTAATAAAGATATTTTTCTTCTGATATACTAATAATGTTTGTCAACTCATGGTAAATATCAACATTTTGGAGATCTTTTTGAAATAAAAATCACTAATTTGGCCACTGTAAGAAACTTTACACAAAATTGCATACATTTTTTTGAAAGCAAAAGAGATTATATCCAAGCACTAATACTATTCCATTATGATCATATCTATACAAAATACATTTCTAAAATTTTTTCTGCTTCCCTTATATTACAATAAAAGACCAACTATTTGGTATTTAATTAATCAGGAAACAGAACATTTTAGAATTTTAGAAACACTTTTTTCATCCATAAAAATCTGGTAAATGAGAGATTTGGAACACCATCAAAAACCTTGTAATATTATTAACATGTACATACTATCGCTAAACAGTGTGATTTAATGCCAATAATGAATAGGCATGACATTTCCATCCAATCGCTCATAAGTTTGTCTTGGTTTAAATGCAAATTTAATGAATAGGCATGACATTTCCATCCAATCACTCATAAGTTTGTCTTGGTTTAAATGCAAACTATATTAATTCTCAATAAGCCAGTTTAATTTTTGCATAGGAAGATATAAGTTCTCTTTTTTCCTTCACATTTTGAAAAAGTGATTAATATTTGGGACTGTAAGAAGTGTCTTGGTTTAAATGCAAACTCAATTAATTCTGAATAAGCCAGTTTAATTTTTGTATAAGGAAGACATATTTTTTCCTTGCATTTTGAAAAAAAATGACTAATATTTGAAACTGTATGAAGTGGAGTATTTTCAGAGTTAAAGAATCTGCACATCAAAGAAGGCACAATATGCAACTGTGAAACCAGATAAACAATGGCATGCAACTTGATGACATGACAAGTGATTTAAGTTTTTGGTACTTTTCCATTTCGCCGGCACAAATCTCGCCAAACAGACTTTATTGGCGACAACACACCATATACAAGTATACACTACACATAAAAAATTTTAACAAATGTTAGTTCTAAGAATTTTTTATTTTGAAAGCATAAACATTTGGCTAATCTTTGGAATATGGTAACAGGACTTTGGCGAATTTTGGTAAGGGATAAGGTTACTAGCTGACTTAGCAGTGTAATGGATAAGTCAAGAGTAGCACAATGCCATTTTTGTGCAATTCGGGATTTTTTTAATGAGAATAGGTCGACGTGTATGGAAACTGTGATGTGCAATTCTTAAAAACGCGTCAACAGTGGGCGATTCTGCACTTTTCCATTCGCCCTAATTTTTGTCATGATTCGCCCTTTTGTTTCCATAAAAGTTCTAGCATAGCGTAATTCGTCTAGCAGATTGTTGGAAAAAAATGGAGTAAAAAAAAAATGCCTTTACTTCGTAAAACAAAATGGTCCAAAAAAAAACTAGCAGGTTGCTGTAGCAGGGTGGTCGCCAATTTTCGTCAAAAAATCGCCAAGTTACATAAGAACAACATTTTATAACAAAATTTTGTAAAATCCAATAATTTGTAAAAGATTTAATTTAAGAAGTTCTATGCGTTCATAGTTCCACACCCCAATTCGCCGGTTCATATCACGTGACCCCAAGTAATCTCATCTCACGTAAACTACGCTAAAAAAATCTAATTCTCTCAGTGATTACATTAAATTCAAGTTAAATCTTAATTTGGAATACAAATTTAAATGCAGAAATTATTTCAATTCGTATGAATAGCTTACTCAGAAATTATGTAAAACCGCAGTGCTGTACTTCACTAGTGCATTCTCATCAAAATTGATGAATTTAACCCTTGACTTTGCTTTTTCTAGTATATTTTCGCCTTTGGTGCGATTGCATCCTAATTGACTTAATTAATGCGAATGGTCTTAGGGTATGAAACTGAACTATGTGGTAAAAATTCTATGCAACTGTATGCCAGTAATGAAAGAAAGAAACAATCTGATAAGAAATGGCAGCGAATTGTTTTGAAGATGAGGCGTAAAAGGTTACCAGCAAAGATATTCCGTTTGGTATCAGTTGTACCATTATTGGCGACTTTATCTCCTGCGCCGGCAAAATGGAAAAGTACCAAGTTTTTTAATAGCTATATCCATAATGGGTATCACTTTATTATCTAAACAAATAACTCTGTTCACTTAAACTTCTATCTAAATGACTGGCAACATTTCTGCCAACTTTCATGTTCAGCAGGATTTCAAAATAAGCGAAATATGTTGCCTTTTATGACTGAAATGTGTGCCTGCCCCTTTGCCCTGAAAACTTATGTAATTTCAAATGCAGGCTAAAATTTAAGTTGGTAAAAAATAAGATCCTCATTTTTAGAATTTAAGAGTAGAAATTTCGGTACTCTTCTAAGTTCGGACCAGATTCAGAAATGTACGTATGTACGTGTATATAGGTGCAAGTGTGTATATGCACACATATAGTCTCTCTGTATATATATTATATATATATATAATAAGGGTCTCTCTGTTATCAGGGTCAGATTCAGAATTTGTATCATCACATTGTATATCGGTAGAGTGACTTTACGGTTCCCTTTATTATTGCGAAATGTTGTTTCTTTACGGTACCCGGTCGTTGAATTTATGGAACCCTATTTGACGTAATGTTTGATTATCCATCCCGGTAAATTTGATCATGGATGTTTTTTACCGCTTTTTCTTATGTGGGTTAAGACCTCATTTTTGTGTCATTGTTGGCGTAGAAGCGAATTAGTTGTGAATTTCTGTGATTTGAAAAGAAGGAGAAAAGTGCCTTAATGACTGTTGTGTAAAGGAGGTTTCTTAGTAGCCTTTTCGAGAAGTACGGATATTGTATTTTTTATTCTTATTTTTGTGAATTTTGGGGATGTCTATATAAGATCTTAGTTCAGATAATTTTAGGAAGTTTTTTGGTGCGTTAGGAATTTTGTGTGCCCAGAGTGAGTGGTATTTGCTTTGTTAACTTTAATTCATATGTTAATTCATATCCTTTTTATGTTTTTTATGTTGGTTTAAAATGTAGTTTATTGAGATTATGTATTTTTTGTTTGCCTCTACCATTTTTCCTTTGTTTCTAAGACACCTTCATTTCTTTAGCACATTTTAATTTTAATATCACCAATAAAAAGACTAGATGCCAAAGAAAGCTGAAAAGGAAGAAAAAGGCAAATATTTTTTTAATTATTTACATGGCTTTATTTACAATAATAGTATGCATTTAAATTAGTATTTTGAAACAACAAATTTTTTCAAAAAATTAATAATTTAGAGAAGATCTGCAATTTTAGACTGCACCCTATTTTTAACAATGTTAATAAGGAGAAAGACTGCACTTTAAAAGAAATAAAAATCATAAATGTTTAAGAGACATACCATATAGCACTGGAATACCAAACATTTGGCTTTCCACCATTTTACAATATAAAACAGTTTCAACTTATGTAGATTCTGATTATATTGATTTACCTAGCAATACATCCCTGGTGTAAATCAAGAGCTTACAAATCTGTATTACACGCACATTAAAATTACTTAAGAATTTACTAACCTGCCTTCACATGCTTTGCAGCTTTTTTACATCTTCCTGCAAATTTCAATCGATAAAACAGTGAGATAAAAAGTACAGAAAAATATTTAAGGAAAGATAAATGAAAAATTGAAAAAAAAAATTTTTTTTTTATTATTTCAAACCCACAGCAAACAAAGTATTTACAGAAATAAAATATTGCATGCATGAAAAGAGAAATAGCTGTATAAACATGACATTCCTTTTTCTTGATAAACGCAGGAGATACTTAAAATATTAGATGCTACAGTTAGTTTTTTCCACACTTACTACAAGCTTCATTTTCCTCGCTTCTTGGTGCCAAAAAAGTCTCTACCAGCACCGTCATAGAACTTACAAAAATTTTAACTAAATATTCGTAAAAATATTATATGATGAATTCCATTAAACACACATATAAAATAATTATATATGAAAAGAGTATTTTTACATGCATCACATAATTAACTACCTGTAACTAATTTTCTACAAAACTCTGAACTTAGCTATAAAAATACTGAAAAGTATTCATCTTTCTCAGAGGTCAATTAAGACTCTTTAGAGGCCCTAAGAACTTGAAATATTTCAGTACCCGCACATACATTTACATTATAAAGCTTGCTCCTTTTTCCCATTTCTTTCTCTCGGTTTTAGTTCAGCTGCACCATACCTTCCATGGTAAAACCAATAATAAGAAACTTTTCTGGTGTCCCGTTTTCTTGATGCCCAAAGCATGTGCTTATTTTGCTTAATGGTTAATCCAGATGTAAAGTTCATTTACTAAGGTTACATTGAGTCTACATACTAAAAATTGTATTTACATTCACAATGATTTAATAATGATCAGAAATTTAGTAGAATGTTGACATGTCAGCCTGAACAAATTCGGCATGATTCACAGTACTAAAAAGGAGACAATATAACTGGATAGACTAAATATAGTTATAACAAAGTAAAACCTAGCTGTAAGGAAAATAAATCGCCTAATTTAGTTGTTAATACTTTTTTATACAAAAGGATGTTTAAAAATATTTTACAGTTTCAGTAACACTACATTTACTTTCAGCAGAGAGGCATTTTACATGAATTACTAAAAAAAAAATTTTTTTTTTTCAATGTCTACTTGAAGAAACATTTTGCACGAATTTATTATACGTCTATAAGGAAACGGGAAGAGAAAAAAAAAAGTAGTGTAATGCTTAATAAAATTTACTTTAAGCCACACATTGTTCAAAACAATCAAAAAACTTAAATGAATTTAAATGAAAAAATTTTAATAATTCTTAAATTTTAAATATGGAAAATAATTAAATCGTATAATTTAAACTATGAGATATACTATATGAATTTTACTAACTCAGTCGTAAAATATCAGCAACAAAATTTGTTCGAACACACAAAATAACACATGAACGAAAATGACCCATGTGAAATTTGTTACACATCACTAAAAAAAAACTCACCAGATGCTGTTGCTTCTGATCCAGTACTGGATTCTGTAGTTAAGCAGGAATGACAAGCCGTGTGGAGACACGGTAAAAGTTTTGGTTGAGTCATATTCTTTAAATCTTGATTACAAAACACACACTTAAACTCTAGCCATAAGTCCGGATATTCTGACGCTGTGCCACTTTCAGTAACTTGATCGGTAGAACCGGGAGTTGAATTTGAATTGTCCCCTTGATTTTCACTTTCGGTAATATTTTCTTCACTGTTTTGATCGACTTCCATTTCGCTCATTGTACTGACACCTACAGTATTTGCTTGTTATGGAAGTCGTCTCACGCACTGATTACAAAAGAGTCTGAAAGGTACACATAGCCAATCAGCAATTTTACTCAAACTCAATCCCCAATGTGCAAAATGTGAGCACGGAGAAGTTGCCACTATCCTAGAATTGAAAGATCTTTGAGCACACTTGATTATTACCCAGTTTTACTCAAACTTTTTCTCTCTATATCTTACTCAGTAATTTTTATCTAGAGTTAAGTAATAAATTGGAAAATGGTTTCACTTTGCTTCCTTTATTGTGCTTGTTTAAATTTCAATGATCTAAAAAATTCTTTCAGCATTTTAACATTAAACCAACTATTAATTAACTAACAATGGGTGCAGGTTATTGTAAAATAATTTACTATTTTCATTCTCATGAACGATGATCTAAAAAATTCTTTCAGCATTTTAACTATTAATTCATGCAAGAACATTCGACTATTAATACATGCAAGAACAATGGATGAAGGTTATTGTACTCAAAATAACATAAGATAAACAGAAGGAGATAATGTAAAAAGAAGAGAGGATAAACATAGCTTAAAGTAAGATAAGAAGCAATGAAAATAAAGTACAGGGTAGTTATGACTGCACAGAGTGATTATCCTATTTAGACCTATCTAAAGCTCGTTCTATAGACATATTTCGTTGAAACTTGGGTTCTATGTTATATGGACGATTGGGAGAAAATCTGCAATAAGAAATAATAATTCAAATTTCGACCATTAGGTCAGAAGGGGGCTCAGGAGGAACAAAAAAAAAAAAAAAAAAAAAAAAAAATCAAACAAATTGGAAACACAAAAATTTATTTAATGACATTAAACTTTATGTTCAGAAACGTGCACGAACTCAGTTAATACACAATAATTTAATATGTTCATTATAATGCAGATTTTTTGTGGCAACAATGATGTTTTGTTATATTACTTGAACGTTATAACTAGAATATGAACCCTACTTTCGTAATATTAAGATATGCCTGCTACGCAGTGAATTTCTTCGCCCCACGGGTGTTGGTACTTCCGATACCATTTATTTGAAAATATCTTGCCTATGCACCTTAGCGATCTATGGGAAAACTCTTATACTTAATGACCAAAAAAAGTAAGTCATAAGTAATCGTGGAATTTTTCTTTTGGATTTTTAAATGCTAATAAAATAGTTCTTATTAATTAAAAAGGTTTTCTCTGCTAATAACTACCATTCTTCCGGATTATTAAATAAGTCAAGAATTGTTAATTTCAAAACAACTGGCGTCCTTCGACAGGACGGAATGGCTATTTGAAGAAAAAGAAACAACGGTTTGAAAACGAAACGTTGATTTCGTATTGGAATTTATCAAGTGAGTTTATGATTTGTTTGATTATATCCTTTATTATTTGAATTATATTGGACATATTGAAATTTAAAATCATGGAAATTTGATTATTAAGAAAAGCGTAAGCCACTAAGGCAATCGTTTACGATTAACTGCCAATGCTTTTAGATGGCTGAAATTCTAAAGCCTGACGTGGAGGTTAATCAACTCCAAGTATTGAGCTCACAGTTGGAAGGGAAAATTCAACAGATTAGATTGAAGTTCAATCACAAATTTCCGAACTTTTGTTGAAAAGTGAAAACGAAAGTGAATATTTGGCTGATTTTGATGACACGAATGAAACATATCGTAATAAATATATCAGTTTAAAAATAAAAGTAGGAAAGTATAGAATGGTGAATTCCACTTCCTGTAATTACACCTGGAACTTTAGAAAATTTCTTACGAAAAGGAACTTTAAATTACCAAAGTTGGAGCTTCAAAAAATTCAATGGGGAGACCCGAAATTGGTTAGGATTTTGGGGACAGTTTAAGAAGATCGACGAAGATGTAAATATAGATGACGATGAGAAATTTCAATACCTATTGCAGGCAACGGTCGTTGGATCCCCAGCTGAGGGAGGATAACTTTCTATCAGCTTAGAGCTCATAGATAGTTATTCCTCCCTCAGGCGCGAATTATAAAGAAGCTATTAAGCAGCTAAAATCTCGATTTGCATGCGACGAATTACTGGTAGAAATCTATGTTCGCGAATTATTAAAGTTGGTTTTGGCTAAGCTAGCAAAAAAAAAGAAATATGACTCTATCTAACTTATATGATAAGTTGGAGACGCAACTCAGAGCTTTGGAGACGTTAGGGGTAAAAAGTGAGACTTATGCAGCTATGCTGTAGCCCCTTGTAGAGTCTTCACTATCTGAAGAAATTCTGAGGGCATGGGAGCGATCTCGCTAGCGTAGGGAAAGTGTTGCACACACTGAAAATTTGGAAAATTTATTGCATTTTCTCCGAATTGAAGTTGAAAGTGAAGAGTCTTCATTTGCCCGTACAGTTTTTCTGCTCCAGACAAATTTGACTCGGTTTCCACCACAGCAGCTTTTCTTTATGCAGAAATTCAAAGAAGAACCTTAATTTTTTGTGTTTGGTGTGACAGGAAACGCATAATTCTTATGAGTGATTTAAGCTACACAGCCTTTCAATTGTAATATAAGAAAATTTACTAAGAAAGAAAAAAGCTTGTTTTAACTGCCTAAAAATTGGGCAATGCTGCCGAAAAGTGTAAAAGTTCTGTGAAATGCCTATTTTGCAAAAACATCATGTAACGGTTGTGCAGAGAACTAAAAGGTTCTAGAAGTTCAAAAAAGGAAGCACCTAAAGTAGCAACGAACAAGTGAGACTTTATTGTCTAACCAAAAAACAAACACTCTTCTCCCAACTATTATGGTGAAGATTGTCCATAATGGAAAAAGGAACTTGTGAAACGCTTTTTGACAGTGGGTCACAAAGATCTTACTTACGGAAAGACATATAAAAGAGACTAGATTTAGTCCCATTAGATCAAGAGATTTTGAGCCAAAATTTCTTTTTGGTGAGTTGAAACTGAATCTCAGGTCCATGGTATTTTTGATATCGAATACAAGGAACGAAAATAATTCAAGTACGAATTATTGGTTTTTAGACAAAGACAAAATTTGTGGATACATGCCTAGAGTGAAACTCAAACATATATGTTCCTCACTTCGAGAACATAAAATCAAAATCAATGATTCTTGTAGAGATACGCCAGATATCGGATTGTTAATAAGATCTGACTATCCCGGACTGTTGATGAGGAATAATATCATTCCAATTGACAAAAACCTTATTGCCATTGAAACAAAATTGGGTAGGACCCTACAACGCCCAGTGCAAACTCATAATACCTTGCTTGATACCGTCGGACTTTTTTTATTTGGATCTCACAGAATTATGGAATTTAGAGACAATTGGCATAAAAGATCCGGAGGAAGTGAAGACTAATGAGAATTTAGAACATGAAACGATGAAAGTTTTCCTAGAGAACATTAAAGTAATCGAGGGTAATAGGTGTGAAGTCTGTTTGCCTTGAAAGGATAGTCATCGGATTCTTGGAGATAATAAAGGGCTGATCTTTACAATATGGTAACTGGTAGTTTGGCGACATTTTGGAGGCGATAAAGGTTACTACCTGGGACTTTGGTAATAATGTGAGCAGTACTCAGTTCCGATTACGCATTATTTTGTGTGAGGGAAATGAGAGATCATGTGATATGTCATGTGATATTAAATGGACGAATTACGGTTCTTTAATCGGAAAAGGGGGGGGGAAATCGGGAAATTTTGTATTTGTTTTTATTCTGTTGTTGTGTGAAACAGTGTTCGTTAATTATCGGATCCCATGGCCCTAACTAAAGTGAATTCGAAATGGGTATTTAGTGGGATTGAAAGGGGTAATAAGTGTTTCTTTAAGGTTGTGCGAGATAGAAGTAAAGATGTTTTATTAAGTTATTGATTTTACCTGGTACCCTTGGTGTGAACTATAAGTATGATTTTAAAGATTGAACAAAATAAGAAATTTTGGGACACGTATCAAGATTCTGAAGAAGAATAGGTTAGTTTAGTATTTTTAATTATTTGAGGATATTATTGTTATGCATTGTTCTAAATGTAAGGTGGAATTAAGTAATTTGCGTAACGTGCATGAAATAATTTAAATATTTGACCTAAGTATTGTTAACCATTTGTAATGAAGTAAGATATGAATTAGTTAGTGACGTTTTTGTAATGTAATAGATAATGTAGAGGTAAAGTTTTTTTGGATATTTTATTTATTTTATACGGGGAAATGTTCCTATTTGGAAAGGGTATGTACTTTTTTAGCGATCAGTTAATTCATATAGCCTTTTTAAACCGGGTTTAAATTCAGAAATTGTTATGCATTTCGTGAAATTTTTCTAATTTATGAGAAAAAAGCAGTGTACATGGA